AGATCAGATTAGTCTGGCATGACTTGTTTTTGATAAATCCATGTTGACTATTAGCGATGACTGCATTTGTTTCTAAGTGTTTGCAGACCGCTTCCTTAACAATCTTTTCCAGAATCTTGCCCGGTATCGACGTGAGGCTGACCGGACGGTAGTTGTTTGGGTCATCCTTTTTTCCCTTCTTGAAGATTGGGACCACATTGGCCCTCCTCCAATCTGCTGGAACTTCTCCCGTTCTCCAAGAACTCTCAAAGATGGTTGCCAATGGTTCCGAAATGACTTCCGCTAGTTCCTTCAATACTCTGGGGTGTAGTTGATCTGGCCCTGGGGACTTGAACTCATTAAGAGCGGCCAGGTATTCCTGGACGACTTCTTTCCCAATTTGGGGTTGGATGTCCTCCAATCCCTCATCCACTCCATCTTGCTGAGGTTGAAGACTCTCTTTTTGTGAGAAGACCGAAGCAAAGAAGGCATTAAGTAGTTCTGCCTTTTCCCTATCCCCTGTCAGCATTGCCCCATCTTCTCCTCGAAGAGGTCCTATCGCCTCCTTGTTTTTCCTTTTTCTACTGACATAAGAATAGAAGCCCTTTTTATTGTTTTTAATGTCCCTGGCAAGCCTGAGCTTGTTTTGTGCTTTAGCCTTGCGGACCTTTTCCCTACAGGTGTTTGAATTCTTCTTTGGTGATTTCTCCCTTTTTCCACTTCTTGTGCATGTCTCTTTTGAGTCTTAGCACAGTTAGAAGTTCTTTGGACATCCATTCTGGCTTCTTTGCACTTGTCCTATTTTTTCTCTTTGTTGGCACTGTTTGCAATTGCGCCTTGAGTATTTCACTCTTGAAAAACTCCCATCCATCCGTAACTCCCTTGTCTTTTAGTATCTGTGTCCATGGAATGCTGCTCAGTGTTCCTTCATTTTTTGGAAATCAGCTCTCCTAAAGTCCAAAATGCGGGTTTGACTTGTCTTAGTTTCGGCCTTCCTTTGTACCTCAAATTGCAGGAGCACATGGTCACTTGCCCCTACGGATCCTACCACTTCGACCGCATCGATCAGGTCCTCCGCATTTGTTAGGATGAGATCAAGAGTAGCCAATCCCCTTGTTGCCTCTTCTACCTTCTGGACCATGAAATTGTCTGCAAGGCAAGCGAGGAATTTGTTGGACCTTGTACTCTTGGCCGAGTTTGTTTTCCAGCAAATATCGGGATAGTTGAAATCGCCCATGACTACTACATCTCTTCTCTGTGCCTGTTTGGTCAACTGTTGGCAGAAGACTTCATCAAGTTCTTCCTCCTGGCTTGGGGGTCTGTAGTAGACGCCTACAACAACATCTTTTTGAGTCCCAGTTCCCTTGATTCTTATCCAGATGATTTCAAGCTGGTTTCCCAGATTGCTGTCTTGAATCTCTTCTGCAGCATAAGAGTTTTTGACATATAAGGCTACTCCGCCTCCTCTCCCCTTTGTTCGGTTTCTGTGAAAGAGGTTATACCCCTCGATATCTACATTCCAGCGATAGGAGTCATCCCACCAGGTTTCAGTGATCCCTATGATATCATATTTGTGGTGTTGTGCTAAAAGTTGGAGTTCGTCTTGTTTATTTCCCATGCTCTGTGCATTAGTGTAAAGACATGTGAGCCCCTGAGATCTTCCCTTGAGCTGTTTAATTGGGATTATTGTGCTTTTGGTACTTGGTCCTTGTTGTGTTTGTGCAGCCCTCCGTTTAGCCTTCTGGCGATTCCCAGACATTATGGGTAAAGTAGTGTTCGCAAGGCTGTTGTCCCCCTTCCCCGGTGGACCTAGTTTAAAGTGCGTCTAATGAGGTTTGCGAGTCTGTGAGCAAAAAGGTGTTTTCCTACTTGTGTGAGATGCACCCATCCCTTGCCAGTAGGCCATCCTCCTGGAAAAGCAGGCCATGGTCGAGGAAGCCAAAACGTTCCTCCTGACACCATTTTCTAAGCCAGTCATTGACCTGTACTATTTTTCTGGCTCTTGTGGGTCCGTGTCTTACAACAGGGAGGAGGGATGAAAAGACCACCTGTACATTACATTCTTTTAGCTTTGCTCCTAGAGCTCGAAAATCATTTGTGATCTTTTGAAACGTATGCCTTGCAGTATCATTGGTTCCTACATGAATCAACATGAGGGGAGGACGGTGATAGGGCTTGAGGAGCCTGGTGAGCCTCTGAGTGATATGGTGTATTTTTGCCCCCGGTAGGCAGCATATTTCTCGAGCCATCCCATCTGGTCTGGAAATGACAGCTTCCGTTCCTCTAAGGAGGGAGTCGCCTACTACCAAGACCTGTTTACTTTCGGGAATGACAGGGCCCCTTTTGTGCAATGTAGTGTGTAGGTCTCCAGAAAAGTGATCCTGTTGGTGTGAATTGTGTAGGTGAAAAGTGTTGTCCTCCTCCTCGACATCCCCGGTGCATTCGTCAAGGACAATATAGATGCCATCATGGTTTGCATGAGATTTTAAAGCCACCTCTTCTACTTGCCACAGCAGCTTCAAAGTATGCATCATTTTGTTCATTCTGTGCTTGCATATTTGCGATCTTTCGACAGAAGCTTCAGCCCAGGGTCTCTGAAGCTGTGGTCCATACCATGCTAGATGTTTTCCTCTCATTTTCAAGGTTTCTACACATAATTATTTTTACATCAGCTACCTATCATCTGCATCAAATCCACACTGCCCAGATGGCACCATTAGACTGCTCTCAGGAAACAACAGAGATAGAGCTCTTGTTCACCCAGATGATAAAATATGTCGCATTGAAAGTATAATGTACTGGAAGCATGGGTTTGCTATTTCTTTTTTCCACATTTGGGGGGGGGGGTCCCAATTTGTTCTGGGGTATGCTTTATAAAGTTGCAGGAACACAAACAGCATGAAAACTTGTAGCTCTCCTGTCTGAGCCTATATTCATATTTTTAAAAGAATGAGTGAAGGCAAAGAAAAGTGTGAAACAAATATGCAGTTGTTTAGTAAAGGCCAATGATGATAGATTCCCCTCCAGGGTGAAATGACTCATAACTTATTAGAGACAACAATGAGTTATGGATGCTGTGCTGGTTAAAGGGAAATCAGACATCCCACGCTCAAACTGCAAATGTTTGTGCATTTTTCTTCTTCTTTGTGTTTTCTTTCAGCATTACATTTTATAAGAAATACAAAAACTTACCACCCAGTACATGTAGAAAAGTGCTTCTCAGGGTGCATTTACATTGTCAAGTTGATGCGTGTTCACTCCACTTTAACTGCCATGGCATCCTGGGATTTGTAGGTTGGTGAGGTACCACCACTTAGGCGGGAAGGCTCAAAACCTTGTAAAACTGAAATCGCTATGATTCCAGAGTGTTGTGCCATGGCAGTTAAAAGTGGTGTCAAACTCCATTAATTCTGCAGTGTAGATGCACCTTCGGTCAAGCTACTGTTATCAACTGGCACTTTTTCCCCAATGTGTTGGGAATTGTCACTATATTTTTTTGCTGTTGGATACAACTGCTTCTTTTTTTTCCTGGAAAATTGCCAAGAATAACTACTTGGAGTAGAACTGATGTAAAGTACACAGAGGAATGAGTTATACTGGAATTGTGGCGCAGCTGGCTGAGTGTCAGCTGCATTAAGATCATTCTGACCAAAAGGTCATGAGTTCGAAGCCAGCCCGGGTTGGAGTGGGTTTCCAACCAATTGTGTGGCCTGTTGTCAACCTTTGCAACCCGAAAGACAGTTGCATCTGTCAAGTAGGAAAATAAGGTACCACCTTAAAGTGTGGGGAGGCTAAATTAACTGATTTATGAGGCCATAAAGAAGACTCCAGCAAAGCATTCCAGCGGGGAAGCATGCGGGAATGCGGAAGTGCTTCATCAGCGTCGCAGATGGACGATGAAAGCGACAGCTCCCCTGGCGGCCAGAAAAAGTTAAATAGCCTCTGTGTATGTCTGTATATGTTTGTATGTCAAAATTTGATATTGAATGTTTGCCACATATGTGTACACTGTAATCAGCCCTGAGTCCCCTGCGGGGTGAGAAGGGAGGAATATAAAAGCTGTAAATAAATAAATAAATATAAAGTACACAGAGGAATGTGTTATTCCTGCTATGATCCACCTAGGGCCCTAAGAACATCCAGGGAGACCATGCTCATTGTTTCCCCATTGTCGCAATTGTGTCTGGTGGGGACAAGGAACAGGGCCTTTACTGTGGTGGCCCGTCGGCTATGGAACTCCCTCCCAAGTGAAATTAGATCTGCTGCATCCCTCTTGACCTTCTGGAAACAAGTGAAATTCTGGCTATGGAACCAGGCCTTTGCAGATTAGGTTGACTTGCTGACGTGACGACTTTTATAGAATTGACTGACTGCCCCTTGGATGATGATTCAAACCAATGACTTGACTACTTGATGTTTTTATATTGTTTTATACTGTTTTATTGCTATACCACTGTTAAATTATATATTTATATCTCTGGTATGGGCACTATGGGGTGCCGATCCGTTAGCCGTCCTGAGTCCCTCTGCGGAGGTTGAGATAGGATGGATATAAAAGCCCAAAATAAATAAATAATAATAAATATTACTGTATTTGAGAAGCATAGCAGTCCATGTTAATTTCTCAGCTTATCCATCAGGTTTCAAATTCTGACTTACATCATATACTCAACAATATTATTAGACAGTATGTGAAAATGCCAGTCACAGCAAACATTTATGCGATAGGATCTAACACCAAATGCAGAGGTCAAGAGTATTGAAGAACATTATATCCTGTACAATATAATATAATCTTGTATAATTCTTAGTCACACAAGGAACAGCAAGTGTTAAATGTTTATTATATCCACACATTTCCTCATTTTGCTTCCACTTTCTCAATGAAAATTAAGGATTGACCTCTTGCACTTCATTGATCTGTCATTCCATCCAATTAATATATTGCCCATCTAGTGACTATGCTGCTTGACCATCTTGCATTAATTAACCTAGATCACTAAGCAAATAAGCTTGCTTACTGTTCTGGCATCCCAAAGAGAGAGGGTCTTGTCCGCAGAGCTGGTGAGGATGATGTTGGAGAAAGGAAGGAACTCGATGCTGTTTACTGAATCCTTATGACCACGCAAGGTGTATCTGCACCTCTCACTGTAAAAGAATACATTGACAGATAACCTCAGCAACTATTGTTGTGGAATAAATTAGCAACATCAAAAGGCAGAAAAGGGTGCATCCACATTGTAGAATGAATTTAGTTTGACACCACAGCTCAATGCTATAGAATCATGGGAGCTGTAGTTTTACAAGGTCTTCAGCCTTCTTTGCCAAAAAGTGATGTTGCCTCACCAATCCCAAGATCTAGTGTTAAACTGCATTAACTCTATAGTATCCCCATAGTGTACAATAATTCAACCAGCTATGACTTGAGATCCTCAATGTGTGAACAATACATATATTTCCAATATTTATACCATAATTTTCTATAGAAATAATCAAGTTATCTGATTTCACTGAATTAAGGAAGCAAGTTCCATTGTTTCACTTACGTACTACTTCCTTTGTTTTATGTACTTAGTAATTTATTTACTAAAATAAATTACTGTGGCCCAAATAATAATTTAATAAAATAAAATAATTGCTGTGGCCCAGTCTGTGTATATGTGTTTTCTGTGTGTATATATATGTGTGTTTGTGTATATATGTGGTTTTACGCATGTGTTGTAATGTGTTTTTTGGCTTTTTACGTCTCTTCTGCTGTGTTTTTCAGTTGTTGGGTTTTGTTTTTTTTGAGTGATGGTCAATCGTTGGGTTCTTGGGTATCTTGTGGTCAAATTTGGTGTCAATTTGCCCAGTGGTTTTTGAGTTATATTAATCCAACAAACAAACATTGCATTGTATTGTCGAAGACTTTCAAGGCCGGAATCACTGGGTTGTTGTAGGTTTTTTCAGGCTATATGGCCATGTTCTAGAGGCATTCTCTCCTGATGTTTCGCTTGCATCTATGGCAAGCATCCTCACTACCTCTGAGCATGCTTGCCATAGATACAGGCGAAACGTCAGGAGAGAATGCCTCTAGAACATGGCCATATAGCCCAAAAAAACCTACAACAACCCAGAACATTACATTTTTATTTATATAGATATTCTACATTTGCAATTAAGATAAAAGAATGTAACGGAAAGGAATGAAGTCTCTCTGGGATACTTTAGAAACATCACAGCTTGTTATAGTTTTTTTCTGTTAACTGTTATGAACCTGTTCAATGTTTCAGATTGCATAGAAATTGGTAAAAATGTTATGAATTGTTTCTTTCTGTATCAAATGCTTATTTTATTTATTTCCAAGAATGTTACTTAAGGAAGCAACATTAAGACAAGTCGCTGTGGATCAGACCGAGGCTCTAAAGATAGATTGATAGGTAAGTCTAATTCTGGTTCATATCAGTTTTATATGTATTTGTTAGTCCACTCCTTCCCATGCTTTACCAGTAATGGCCAGCTAGGAATAGTGGCATTTATAATATGGCAAATTAAGGATCCGTAGCGAGGATTTCGATTCGGGGGGGGGGGGCTGAGTTTGAGTGAAAGAGGGTCTACCCTAGCAAACCTTTTGTATCGTTACCCCAATACCCCCATGCATATGGGATATATTGAGTAGGGTGATCAGATCATGATATGAATAACATAACAGTTTAAATAATGCACCAGTAAGGCCTTTTCGCGAACCACCATGAGAATTTCGGGGGGGGGGGGGGGGCTGAAGCCCCTGAAGCCCCCCCCCCCCCCCGGCTACATGCTTGGCTGTGATCCATCCCTTTTATCTGTTCTATTGAGAGCAGAAAAGAGCAATAGGAAGGATCACAGTCATATCACAAATGCCACCATTCTTAGCTGTCCATTAAGCATGCTTCTGCTGACATGAGAACAGGGTGATCCTGCAACCGTTCTGGGCCTCCCATTCTGATGTCACCAAAGGTGCCCATGTGACAAGCGTGAAGGAGAGATCAGCTGGTTGCATGGATGCCTCTGCAAATGTAAGAATGGGATGGGGGTATCCATGTGGTCAGGAAGTAGGAGAATTTCCCTCTTTATGTTGGTCATGTAGTCACCCCATTCTGAGGTTAAAAGAGGTGCCTGCAATGATCATGAGCTCACATGGAGCTCCATGGCCCAAAAGGCACTGACAAAGAGTAGTTAATATGCACACACCTCAGGGAAGTAGCTGTCATGTAAACAATGGTATCAAATTGAACTCAGAACTGCTCTGGAGCACATTTACACTGGGCTAGATTTACACTCTATCCCCCTTCCTCCTTTTCCTTTACATTTTGGAAGCATCAGGCACAATGTAAATAGTAGCAGTGGTCAAGACTGAAGATGTCACCCTCTTTTTACCAAGCAGATTTATGTCCCTGAGTTAGCAAGATCCCAGAGAAAGAAGATGGCAGCTGGAATAAGAAAATGGCAGTTGGCAACTGCTCTGGTTGGCACTTTATAGCACATTAAATAATATGTTTTTAGAAGTGGATTGAAAAGAACGTTGCTGCTAGCCCTGTGGAGATGCGTAGTGTTGAGCAAGTTGACCCACACTGTTTTCTTAAATAATTATCATATCACACTTCAACAGAAATGAAGCAGGGAAGCAGGCCAGCCGGGCTGAGGATATATTCCTGTTGGGTAGGAGAAAAACATATTGATTTATATAAGACAGCTCCTAATAGAGAAATTGAAAGCCACATCTTCTGGGAAAGAGACAGCTCAAGAAAGGGATATATATTATGAGTAACTCAGCTACGATGAAGGGAATTGCAGACAGACAGGCTGCAAGACCAGACTCGTGAGAGATTAATTAGGTGTCAGAGGAGAGAGGCCCATTCAGAATCCCTTAGCAAGGTGAAAATGGACTGAAAGTGATGGACCACAACAGCGATAGGAAGGAAGGAAATGATTTGTGTATTTCCATCAGGAATATAAATACTTGGGTCTGTTTCTGTTCTCTCACTCTCTGCAGCTTCTATATCAAAGTGATCAGCAAGCTCCCTTCACTCTCTCCCAATTTAATTTGCCATTCTGGTAACTCACTGACTGATATTGTTCTGAACCTTTGACTGCGACATAAAACAAACTCATCTTCCTCCAGCTGAGACATAATTTAAATGAAAGTGTGCAGTCATACTCAAAGCAACTGCGAGAAATGAAGGCAAAAGCTTGGTGGTGCTCTATAAAAAAATAACAGAAGATTTGAAGCATATCTCTATCATCCTCACGTTCTCACTACCCTTCCCTCCTGCTGCATTTCTTCTTGGATGGAAGAACAATTTTGTAGCAAATGGGCAAAATTCTGCCCCCAGAAATATGTAATTACATGGTCATTCTTTGATGCTAAACCTAATAAAATTTCTAACACTCCATAATGATCTGAAATGACAAGATCTGGAACTTGTCATTTCATTTCACTTGCTTGTCCAGTTTTGGTAGATTCGTTTCAATCTGTTCAGCTCGAGGATGTCGACAGGATTCTTGGGGAGGCGAGGCCAACCACAAGCATCCTAGACCCCTGCCCATCCTGGCTGGTAAAGAAAGCCAGAGGGGGTTTGGCAGAGTGGGTAAAGGTGGTGGTTAATGCCTCCCTTCAGGAAGGCATCATTCCAGCCAGCTTAAAACAAGCTGCTATAAAACCGCTGTTGAAAAAAACATACCTGGACCCACTCAATTTGTCAATTATCGGCCAGTTTCCAATCTCCCCTATTTGGGCAAGGTCCTGGAATGTGTGGTGGCCTTGCAACTCCAGGATTTCTTGGTAGACACTGATTATCTGGATCCGGCGCAGTCTGGCTTTAGGACACGGTACTGAGACAGCCTTGGTCGCCTTCGTGGATAATCTTCGCCGGGAATTGGACAGGGGGAGTGTGTCCCTGTTGGTTCTGCTGGACCTCTCTTCGACATCTTCGAAACACGGTATCCTCCTGGGACGCCTCACGGGAATGGGCCTTGGGGGTACTGCTTTGCAGTGACTCCGGTCCTTCCTCAAGGGTCACTCCCAGAAGGTGTCATTAGGGGACTCCTGCTCGACCCCGCGGCCATTGTATTGTGGGGTCCCGCAGGGCTCAGTATTGTCCCCTATGTTGTTGAACATATACATGAAGCCATTGGGAGAGATCATCCGGAGTTTCGGGGTGAGGTGTCATCTCTACACAGATGATGTCCAACTCTGTTACTTCTTTCCACCTGCTACTAAGGAGGCTGTTCAAGTCCTGAACCGGTGCTTGGCCACTGTAATGGACTGGATGAGGGCTAACAGATTGAAACTAAATCCAGACAAGACAGAGGTACTCCTGGTCAATCGAAAGTCCGAACAGGGCATAGGGTTACAGCCTGTGCTTGACGGGGTTACACTCCCCCTGAAGGCGCAGGTTCACAGCTTGGGAGTGATCCTGGACTCATCGCTGAGCCTGGAACCCCAGGTCTCGGTGGTGGTCAAGGGAGCTTTTGCACAATTAAAACTTGTGTGCCAGCTGCGCCCATACCTTGGGAAGTCTGACTTGGCCACGGTGGTACACACTCTGGTTACATCCCGTATAGACTACTGCAACACTCTCTACGTGGGGTTGCCTCTGAAGACTGCCCGGAAGCTACAACTAGTCCAACGAGTGGTAGCCAGACTACTAACAGGAGCGGGGTACAGGGAGCATACGACTTCTCTGTTGCGTCAGCTCCACTGGCTGCCAATCAGTTTCCGAGCACAATTCAAAGTGCTGGTGTTGGCCTATAAATCCCTAAACGGTCCCGSCCCAATTTACCTGTCCGAATGGATTCTCCCCTATGAACCATCAAGGTTGTTAAGATCTTCTGGAGGGGCCCTGCTCTCGGTCCCACCTCTTTCGCAATTGTGCTTGGTGGGAACGAGGGACAGGGCCTTCTCAGTGGTGGCCCCTCGGCTCTGGAACTCCCTCCCGATGGAGATTAGATCCGCCTCTTCCCTCCTAACTTTTAGGAAGCTGGTAAAATCATGGCTTTGGGACACTGCATTTGCAGATTGATGATTGAGTCAATAACTGTTGACCTACTGGCGGATGGCGATGAATTTGTAATTTGTGATTTCACTCTGACGAACTCACTTTTTTGTAAATGGTATGAACGGTATTTTA